GTCTTCTCTCTTGGTAAATAGACAGACTTACTGGCTGTACGCAACAGTACTGGTGTAAAACTTGATGATGTTGATGATGAAGCCATCACAAACAATCCAACAAAACGAGCACGAGCGAAATGTATGTATATGTTCGTAGGTATATGGAATGAAAAATTACTCACGCACTGCATATAATTAGCAACATCGACGAGCCATAAATTACATGCGATCAAAAACGTAGTAAACAAAAAAATTGTTTTCGTTCGTAATAACTTCACCCTTTCAAGTTAAGTTTCGAATATGAACTGAACAGACGAGGCACGTGGCCAAAGCCGCCATCTTTATACCCATTATATTATTAAAAACTTGGGGAATTCCATCCTAATTATCTTACAATGAATAGTACCTTTGGATATGAATTCCAGGTTTTCTAGTAAAGTGATTAAACGCAAAGAGTAGTCTTGAAATATCCAAAGAGATAAGGTATTCTTATTTACAAAATTGTTAATGGCTAAATTCTTATTTTTATTAATATAATATATTAACCAACATTAGCCGTGAAAGTTTTAATTGTTTTTTGCTAAATATATTAGTATTAAAACATTATTAATATTGATAAACATGTTGGAAAGAAAAATAAATGTAAAACGCATTAATTTTAATGAAAAAACACCTCAGGAACGCCTATGATGATACAAATTGTACGACCGTTTTATGACTTTGAGGCACATTTCGTGCCCTCAGCAATTTGTAAACGGATAAAACGGATAATAGGATTATTATTATTATTAACACTTTAATTCGAATCACTGTTATTCATGTCAGTATCTGTCGTCATAAAAGACGTCCCTTGTTTATTTTTGTCCCCCATCGGGGACCGGTATTAATATTACCGGTATGTGTATTAATTATCAGTATAGACTTTATATATATATATATATATATATATATATATATATATATATATATATATATATATAATCGGTTTAAAACGTCCTCCGACGTCTTCCGATGCCCAATCTCCACGCATCTCTATCTTCCCAAAGATCTTCGTCTAAACCTCTCTCTCGGATCTCTCTGTATATTCCTTCTCTGCAGCTCTTTCTGGATCGGCCTCTTTTTCTCTTTCCATGTGGTGACCAATCTATAATCTGTTTGGGCAGACGATGTTCTGGCATTCTTTGCACATGTCTATACCACTTTAGTTGTTGTACTCTTATATCTTCGACAATCGTATGTGTGACAAAAAATAGACTTTTTAATTTTTGTTTAATATGTAAAAAGTTAAATACAAACACCAAGTAATTACGAACCTGCCCGACCTTTCAATGAAAAGAAAGTCTGACTCGGTCAAAGTCAAAAACGATTGATCTACTTATAGACTAGGCGGCATCTGTAGAAATTCAGACCATAATGGAAATTTTCGAGGGAAGCTATTTTTTTGCTGGAATCCCTTCAGGATATGCCCAGTATCGATAATCACGATATGCGCCAGTCGCAAACCCTGTGCTAAATTTTTTATTTAACAAAATTTGAAAACAATTGAAAATTTCTCATTTTTTTGCTCCTTATTTTCATTTATAATTCGAAAAATATTGATCTTAGAGAAAAAATTATAGGTAGTTAAAAGTTTCGTTATTAAATTTTACACAATATTTTGTTAGCTAGAAATTGAAAATTTAACATTTATTGTTGAAAAAATAGCAATAATTGGAAAAAAAGTACAAAAAATGAAATTAATCCTTTAAATGTTTTCGACTTTCTAAACTTGACTTACAAGTTCCATATTCCGCCTAGAAAAACTTTTTAATATGTTTCAAACGTGTGCTAAATTTTGTTAAGATCGGTCGGATAGGTTTTGCATACTAATTTTGCAATCCAGCCTACTGGAAAAAAATCGCAAATTTTCAAATTCATAGTAGGCCCTAAATAAGGCCCTCAGATAGTTGCATTTTTTTTACATATAAAGGAAATCTCACACTTTCAAACGCTTCTGTAAAATTCAAATCGATCTACTAGGAAAGCCTATAAATTTTTTTAAAGTTATAAACATTTTTTAGGCTTATAAACAAATTAAATAACTTTACGAGCTTTAAACAAATCAATTTCAAAATGTATACACTTAAAGAACATTAGAAGACGCTTCTTTTAAAAAACAAAAAGATACATTCGGCTTATTGGTTGCCGAGATATTGAAGGTCAAAGTTGGCATACATTTGCCGTGTAACCATAAGTGATAGAGGGCTCGTTTTTAAACAAATACCCTCGTCTTGTCAAATACTTTTTATATGAAATGTTTTACGTAATGCGCTTTATGGCAATATCCATAAAAAAGACAAATAAAAAACCGTTTTCGCGTAATATGTCGCTCGGAATGCATGAGAGGTGGTGATGAGGGACATTCACTTCAAATGTGAATCGGCGAGTATCAAGTATATATTAGCCTCAGATAACAAGCCAGTTTTTATAATTGCAAAGGATATTGATGTTCTGGTAATATTTTTACAAAAAGTAACTGAAAATAAAAATATTTTTTTCTGGAAACCTAGCAAAGGAAAAAAATCGGAAGAAATTTATTACTACAACTCTTTCAATAATGCACTTAAAATAAGTGAATCTACGAAATCTTCGTTAAAAAATTTAGTGGGCTTTTTACACGCATTTTCTGGTTGTGATACAACCTCTGCATTTTTTTATCAAGGAAAAAGCAAAATTGTTAAATTGGTTTTAACAAATAATTATATATGGCAAGAAGCAACCATTTTTAATGAAAAAAGTGCAACTAAGGAAGAAATTAAACGCAGCGAATGCAAAATTATATCGGCATTGTATATGGGCCACTCAAAGTGCGATTTTACATTGAATAAAATTCGCTACTTGTGCTTTAAAAAAGGTTGCAAAAATAAAAATTTTCAATTGTCCATGCTGCCACCTACACAATCTGCAGCTGAGCAACACTCGTTTCGTGTATATTTCCAAGTACAGCAGTGGCTTGGAAATAACCTGAATGCTACTGAGTGGGGGTGGGAACTAACTCAAAATGGTCTTGAGCCAATACAAGCTGAGCAAGTATTACTACCTGACTCATTATTCAGAAATATTAGTTGCAAATGTAAAAAACTTTGTACAAAAACATGCAGTTGTATCAAACATGGTCTCAAATGTTCTGACTATTGTCTTCACTGCAATGGTTAAACATGTAAAAATATTGATCACAATAAAATATTGGAAGAAGTTGAACGAGATATGGATATGGAGTCGATGGATTCCTTAGATTTTTTGGAGGCACAAGATATAACTACAGATGAAGGAGAAGAAACATTAAATTTACAGATCGAGGATGAAGATATTGAAATGGAAAATGAAGGTTTTGAGGAAGAAATAAAACCTGAAGATTCTTGTCCTTCCAGAAAAAGAAAAAGACTTAAAAAATTATTGAAGATTGAGTCAAAATAAAGATTATTTATGAAAAGAAAATTTTTGTTTCATTCGCCTTTGTTTTAACAATTTAAATTATTTATTAACAATTTATAAATACATATTTGTTTACTAAAAGTAACAATTTACTTCAATGTATAAATTGCAAGCTCAAAAAAAAACAATTTCGAGCATTACACAGCAGTATAATAACACGTCAATATACAATATACACGTCACTTTCGAATCAAAATATATTCTCAAATCAAATAATGTCATTATTATGATAAAACTGCAGAAATAAATTATTTTTAATGTTAATTATTTTAAAATGTTCCACCACCTCTCATGGATTCCGAGCGACATTTTACGCGAAAACGGTTTTTTATTTGTCTTTTTTATGGATGTTGCCATGAAGCGCATTACGTAAAACTTTTCATTTAAAAAGTATTTGGCAAGACGAGGGTATTTGTTTAAAAACGAGCCCTCTATCACTTATGGTTACACGGCAAATGTATACCAACTTTGACCTTCAATATCTCGGCAACCAGTAAGCCGAATGTATCTTTTTGTTTCTTAAAAGAAGCGTCTTCTTTAAGTGTATACATTTTGAAATTGATATGTTTAAAGCTCGTAAAGTTATTTAATTTGTTCATAAGCCTAAAAAATTTTTATAATTTTAAAAAAAGTTATAGGCTTTCCTAGTAAACCGATTTGAATTTTACAGAAAGCGTTTGAAAGTGTGAGACTTCCTTTATATGCAAAGAAAATTGCAACTATGTGAAGGCCTTATTTAAGGCCTACTATGAAATTGAAAGTTTGCGATTTTTTTCCAGTAGGCTGGATTGCAAAATTATTATGCAAAACCTATCCGACCGATTTTAACAAAATTTAGCATACGTTTTAAACATATTAAAAAGTTTTTCTAGGTGGAATATGGAACTTGTAAGTCAAGTTTAGAAAGTTCAAAACATTTAAAGGATTAACTTCATTTTTTTGTACTGTTTTTTCTAATTATTGCTATTTTTTCAACAATAACCATTAAATTTTCAATTTCTAGCTAACAAAATATTGTGTAAAATTTAATAACGAAACTTTTAACTACTTATAATTTTTTCTCTAAGATCAATATTTTTCGAATTATAAACGATAATGGGAGCAAAAAAATGAGATATTTTCAATTGTTTTCAGATTTTGTTAAATAAAAAATTTAGCACACGGTTTGCGACTGGCGCATATCGTGATTATCGATACTGGGCATATCCTGAAGGGATTCCAGCAAAAAAACAGCTTCCCTCGAAAATTTCCAATTCAAAACAGATCCCGCCTAGACTATTAAATTGGTTCCAAATACTGTTTGCAGAGTTGTTAAGATTGAGTTAAATTTTTGTTATATACTAAATACTTAGATATAATCTTCTAGTCGAAAGTGAAGGAGTATAAACTTTCATCACGGCTGGTTCTATAAGATCCCAAAGTTAATCCTAGTACGATATTTTGCATCATAACTATTTTAATATTACCCATTATAAAAACTTTTAATGATATTTAAAAAGAAACAAAAAAAATCCAGTTTGTAAAAATCGATTAAAAGACCTTACCTGTGGATTATCAACAGCACTTCTCATTATTCTCTTCCAAGTTCGTTCCATCGCATTATACTTTTTACTTTCGACAGGTAATTGTTTTGTTATATCTTCACTAGTAAAAATTGGTTCCAAATACATCCATTGCCTGAAAATAATATTATAGAGTAGGTAACTTTTAGTAATTCTAACATATAAAGCGTTTCACGATGATCAGATTTAGCTTTGGAAACAATACAATTTAAAATCTGAAACTTTACGCTGACGCATAACTGTAGCTGATCTACAGATCCAAAATATTTGCAAGTCTTTATTAATTACTTTTTCCTATACCGGAAGTTGCCATCAACCGTATTATTTTTAATGAAAAACTTTAACTAATTTCATTATATTTGTCACAACTATATAAAACCTTCACAAGAATAATAAACAACCGACTAACCTATAAACTTGATAACTACCAACCAGTGGAACAGGCCGGATTCAGGGAAGGATACAGCACAATCGACCATCTACATGCGCTTAAAATCGTAATTGAGTTGTATTCATTGAAAACCAATGAATACAACCTTCAGCTGTACTTAGCATTCGTAGATTATGAAAAGACTTTCGACAGCATTGAACACTGGGCGGTTGAAGAAGCTCTGGTCAATAGTAGAATAGATTCAAGATACCGACAATTAATACATGATATTTACCAAAACGCAACCATGACCGTAATTCTGGACGACAAATTAATAAAGGATAATATAAAAGTTAAACGAGGAGTCCGACAAGGCGATATAATTTCACCTAAACTGTTTACCTTGACCCTCGAAGACATAATAAAATCAACAGATTGGGAAAACAGAGGAATATGTATTAACGGAAAATACCTAAATCACTTTAGATATGCGGATGATATACTCCTGATCTCCTCGGAACGACAAGAACTGGAATTAATGCTGAATGAACTTCATGAAAAATCACTGCAAAAAGGCTTTAAAATTAACTTCAACAAAACAAAAGTAATGACAAACACGGAAGACCAAGAGGCAATAAAAATAAAAACAGAAAAAATAGAACAGGTAAATGAGTATATCTATCTAGGACAAGCAATCAGAGCTAACAGAGAAAATCAAACAGCCGAAATATCGAGACAAGTAAGAATGGGATGGGCAGCGTTCGGCAAACTTTCTTACGTTCTAAAAAATCAAACAATCCCTCTATACTTACGAAGCAAGGTATATAACTCCTGCATAATACCGGTGCTCACCTATGGAGCATAGACATGGACATTTACACGGGCCAATTTGGATAGGATAAGGAAGGCACAAAGAGCGATGGAGAGACAAATGTTGGGTGTATCGCTTAGAGATAGAAAACGTAACCAGTGGAGCAGAACCAGAACAAAGACAGTAGACGCGATAGAACAAGCAGCAAAACTGAAATAGAAATGGGCTGGACACAATGAACGTCTCCAAGACGGTTGATGGAACAATGCCATCGGAAAGTGGCATCCATACAATGCAAAGAGATCAAGAGGCAGACCACAGATGAGGTGGAAAGATGACATCGGGAAACAAGCAGGTCCCACATGGCAGAGAACAGCTCAAGATAGGGAAAGATGGAGAGAACTAGGGGAGAGAAATGTTCAAAAAAAAATTATTTTTGTTATTTTTTTTTTGTTAGATTTTGCGTAAAATTTTTGACATATATTTTCTACTGACCATATGACTAAAATGTATACAGTGTGTATTATAGTTTTAATTACTAGATCATACTAGAATAAAATTATTTGTATTAAAATCCCCTTAATATTTTTTGACTCAACAAAAAATACTAAATGGGCTTCCCTTAACCACGAATATACATGCGCAGACTCCGTTACAATTACTTTAAAAGAAATGACAAATGATGACTAAAAATTTAAGACTACGGGAAAACTCACTTGTAATACTACGGGAAAACTCACTTGTATACCGTAGGTTCTGTTAATGTATTATAAAAATATGAACCTGTACCATCACTTGCACTACACGCTGCTTTTTCACTTAACCAATTCAAAGGGTTTCTTCCTTTTGAGCCTTCTAGGCAAATATGTGTTCTTAAGGAGCTGGATGGCATCAACAATTGAAAAAGCAGTTGTTTGTGACTCTTGGCAAGACTTTTTTATTGGTCCTGTGAACAGTATTCATTTCCAGGTTCCTATGGAAGTCACTATTCCTATAGTAACAAGAAGCGTTGGCAATGCTTATTAGCACTTTATTTTGGATTTACTGGATGTCTAAATTAATCTTGAATGGAGGTTGGCGTGGGGGTTAGCGTGGGGATTGGCGCTGGGGTGGTTTGAACATTTCTGATGGCAGGATTTAAACGTAAGAACACCTTTCATATAATGAGAGTCTAAGTCTTTGGCTTAGACTCTCATTAGATGACTGTGGATGCTCCTAATGATGTGATTTTTACGATAGCAGTTTTTGATGAGCGATTGTTTTAAACTAGATGATCTGCGTGCATCATCGCAAAGACCTATTAATCTGAAGACAAGGGTAATAATGGCTGGATTAATTTGTGACGGTGCATGATAAGAGTTGGCATGTAAAAACCAATTAGAATGTATGGATTTTTGATAAACAGAGTAATAAAAACCTTGGGATTGGTTTTTCTTTATGAATACGTCAGGAAACGGTAGGGACGAATCAGTTTCCACCTCCATGGATACTAGGATGTATACCGTTCAGACCGGTTTGATTTTTGTTCATAACACATGTTTCCAATTTTGCCTCTGTGGAGATATTCTTTGCTATTGGGAAATTTAAAATATCCAAATCTAAATTAAAGTAATCTAAAGGCTATAGCGGGATAAGATGGTCAAAATTGCACCATGCTCGATTCATTTTTGGGCCTGGCCATTCGAAAGGACATAATTAAAAATTCACTCAGTTAAATTTTCAAGTCCCTAGGTGCCTCTAGGGGTTCGCTATGGGAAAAAACGTATTTAAAAATTTTTTTTTAGACGCTGTATTGCTACAAAAAATGTGAAAAAATTCATGAAAGCGTAGTTTAATAATGCAATACTACCTGATTTTTTTCAGATTTTTAGCTTGAAAATTGAGCCAAGGAAAAATATTTGAAATTTTCAATAAAATTTTAGGTTATGTCGGAAATTTTTGGCCAACTTTAAACCAATGTTTTTTTATGGGTTTTTTCCAGTTCTTTCGAATGGCATAAATATTATTATCATTTTTAACGTGGAAAATGCCTAAAAATCGAAAAAACTGCTTTTTTTGGCATTTTTCTGAAGCACCCCCACCTCTTAACAATAAATTGTATGGGCCTAGGAACAAAACAAGTATTACATAGAAAACAAAAAAATTATTTATACTGCCATAAGATACAATAATATCAGTTTTTATAAAATAAAAAAAATATTAATAAATTAAACATAAATTAGGTTTTTTAGTGAGATGGATGACTCATAACCTTAACAACATACATCTAAATTAATGATAATTCCTATTTTTATATGTATTCTTACCTTTACAATCGCACCATGCTATTAAAACTATTATTTTTTTTTCCTACAGCATGCGAAAAAAACCCCGTTTTTCGGCGTTGTTTTTAAGCTTTCGCTATATAACATCTAAAGTCAGTGTTTAAATAAATGGTAATTTACATTTTCACATGTATCTTTGCCTTTACAATCAAAATCAGTTATTCAAAGCATTAGTTTTATCTCACAACTTTCTGAAAAACCGAAAAACCCTGTTTTCTCCATATTTTTACTACATAACCTCAAAAGACTCTGAAAAATGAATCGTGAATTAGAACGCACTTGTACACTCAAAATTTGTGGAATTATAAGCTAGCGAATATATCTACATATATACGTGATATTATATCACAATGTACATGCATTTATACACAAACGCATATCTATACAGTTTCATGACTTTTGAGATCCTTGTTATATAAATTCATAAGTTCGTACCATGCTCGTCCATGTCTTATTCTTCCGCTTAGATAAAAGAGCCTTATACCCATGCTTATATTATTATTATTTTATTTTATATTTTATATGTACTTAACTCTTTTGGCCTTCATGTCTTAGCCCGACATCCCGCATATCCAGGGAGCTTAATTTTAACAGAAAACATAGCGTTGATAGTAGCGCCACAGTAGTTGATATTAGGCGGCGCAACTACCAACGCCAGGTATACATATATGATATAATCAGGCTCGCATTATATATTGCTCTTAGTGCGTTTGCGTGTGTAGGGCCATATCCTATGTATCACTCTTAGTCAGTTTGGGTGTTAGGGCCTTTATCTTTTCGGCGGGGCTTTTCCTCAAATGTTGAATAGCTCTCTGTTTTTGTGTTTATTTTGAATTGATTTTGAATTTGACAGCAGAATTGTGTCGTGTCTAAAATAACAGGCAACAATAACCAATATTATTGTTTTATATTGTGAAGCAACAAATTCTTTTTTTACTATAACGTCGACCCTATGCATTGTGGTTCTTTATTGGTCGGAGGTTAATAGTAAAGTAAACATCATATGGAGGTTTACGAAAGCCAATGCTGTATTTTTATTTACACTGGTCCACTACCATGGACGAGCATGGTACGAGCTATGAATGTATATAACAAGGATCTCAAAAGTCATGGAACTATATAGATATGCGTTTGTGTATAAATACATGTACATTGTGATATAATACCACGTATATATGTAGATATATTCGCTAGCTTATAACTCCACAACTTTTGAGTGTACAAGTGCGTTCTAATTCACGATTCATTTTTCAGAGTCTTTTGAGGTTATGTAGTAAAAACATGGAGAAATTGGGGTTTTTCGGTTTTTCAGAATGTTGTGAGATAAAACTAATGCTTTGAATAGCTGATTTTGAGTGTAAAGGGAGAGATACATGCGAAAAACTCTGAATTTAGAGATTATATAGCGAAAGTTTAAAAACAACGCCAAAAAAACGGGGTTTTTCTTTTTTTTTAGCATGCTGCAGGAAAAAAATAATAGTTTTAATAGTTTATTTCGATTGTAAAGGTAAGAATAGATATAAAAATATGAATTATCATTAATTTAGGTGTATGTTGTTAAGGTTATGAGTCATCCATCTCACTAAAAAACCTAATTTATGTTTATTTTA